CTAATATAGTACCGGTTAGGAGAAGCGATTTAGTTCAAGTGGAAGGCTCAAAAAGGGTATAAGGGAAGATCCAAGCAGACATAAATGGTAGAGTAGAATGGTAGAACAAGATTCATGTAGTCAACTGATAGTTCGGATAAAGCTCAAATGATATGATGATGTAGCCATCTAGTAATGCAATTATACTTTTTTTTAGTATAGTTGCATTACTTGCTGGCCATAAAAAAAGATATCTCTATTTTAAAGAGTATTACATATAGTCTTAAACTGTATATATTTTTTAAGGTTGGGAGCAAGATCCCCAAAGATTGACATTGAAATCCCAAAACGTTGCGTTTGAGATTCCCCGAAAGGTTGGGAACAAGATCTCTAGCATTTGGGGATATAATTCCCTAACATGTGCATGTTCAGTCAATCTGAAAATGAAGGATTTTGGTCAAACTATCAAACTGTCCTGGGCCGATCTATATTGTCAGATCCCATAAATGATAGGCATTTTCAGTAGGCGAAGCTTCTTCGAGCCAGTTGGCAACTGAAAACGGAAAGCACCTTTCCATCAAAATCCCCCTCTTAGCCTCACTCCCTCGTCATTCTGGACAATGCCACCCAACTGAATAAAAAACCAATGCATCGAATTTAGGCTTTGCTCCTTTGGCTCTAGCATCGATCCCAACACCTTTGGTTCGATGCTGGTCCCTAAAAGATCCCTTTAGCCTTTAGCAATCCCTGCACTCGATCCCAACAGTTTGGTTCCAAAATCAGAATTTAATCATGGTATAAACATGGGGGATCATCTGCGAGTTGAGAAAGGCCCTTTATAGCTTCAAACAAGCACCGAAGTTTGTTTTGCTAAGTTATTGTGGTTGTGCAATGAAAACCCAGCCTCTACCAACTTGGTCCAAGCCCGATTCCTATCCAAAGTGAGTTTTCATAAAGACAATTCAGATCACTCACTTTAGTCAGCAGAACATATCACAAGAAAAATACTAAACAAGCAAAACTTTTGCATGATCAGTACATCTTGATTAGCACTGCTCTTTCTAGGTATATCTTGATGATATATCTATGCCTGGTCATACAATGCTCAAGAAAATAAAATATCAAAGATCACGCATTTGTGGCTGAGGATGGTACTAGTTGTCATTGGTAATGATGACAACTAAATTATATATGAAACTAAGAAAAAATCATTTTCCAGTTAATTTGCATTTTGCTCTCGGCCCATCTGAATTTCCAGCAATGAAGTATCTATTATAATGCACAGATCAGTTAACACTTGCAAAATCGTGTACATTTCTTTAAAAAAGCATCTCATGTTCATAGACATGAAAGGATTTACATAAATCAACAAACATGGCTCCAACATTCACAATGTCCCATCATATCAGTGACAGCATAAAAAATCTAAAAATCCTCGTTAACATAATTCTCATCATCTTGGTATTAACTAATAATACTCTCCCAAGTGGATAGTCACAGAGAAATATGTAGAAAACAGATACTCATTGGAGGACACTTTGGTTCATGTTTAACTTCATGGTCTCCTCGCTATCAGATACATTTCAAATTAGCTTCATATCTCTTCAGATTCATTTGGTTTGCTACCATAAGAATGTGGCTGCAGACCCGCTGTATGTATCATACCATGTTGGGGTTTGGGGCCTCTAAAGGCCATAAGAGCATGTAAAAGATATTTATTTGGATTACACACTTCAGTGGGAGTGCATGTGTTGATTTACTAAGGGTTAGGTGGCCTATGGCCTTGGCCTTGCCCAAAAACCTTACCGGCTTATGACACGACTGAAAAGAGTTTATAATGGGTCATCTCTAGTCGAGGTCGGAGAGATGCCCAAAATTGGTTTGTAGGACAGAAGAGTCGTATGAAGAGTCGTATCGTCTCCTACGTGCGAATGTATGCCTGCGACAGCAGGGACTAAATCCTCAAAAAACTTTTGCATGGCATGTACACAGTGAAGAAAAAGTCGGCTGCTGACCACCTAGGCGGCCATGCCGACAAACCGCCTATGCTGCGGGCGCCTAGGTGGTCTAGGCACCCACGTAGTGCCATCCCTTTGAGAGAAAAAGGAAAAAAAGAAAATCAAATCAACCCTAACAAAAATAACGCTAGGTATTGCCCTTCTCTCTCTCTCTCTC